AATTAATGTCACAGGCTAAACATATATATCTATCCATCTATTTGTTATAGATCACAGGAAATGTGCGTTCTTTTTGAGCATCGGCTAGATTCCATTACTGATTATACTGCTTGATGAATCTAGAAAGGTCTGAAGGAACACGGCGAGGCCATCTTGGAAGGGAAGGCATCGTTTTTCGCCGAGAAGGAAGCCGAGAAGAATGCAAAGCCATAGGAAGGATTATATACCAATGAGATTTCGTGCGTTTTTTGGCATTATATTCACGTTGGGCATGCATTGATTCCGTTCAAGCATTTGGAATTCGAATACAACTTAAGCAAGGAGGAATCGCACATGCTCTGTCACATTGTATTTGTAGAATGTTAATGGATTAACCCACTACTTTTGTATGAAAACGACGAATACTTGAGATTTAATATCCTTCTGGCTGTATACAGTATACTTCAAATCTAACAAGTTATCGGCGGTGTCCAGAACGGGATAAGATAAGATAAGATCGTTAAGGTTGATTTCGGAGATGCTTGGACAAACCTGTCAAACCTTAAACTTCAAAATTTTGCTACCCGTCTTTCGTGTACTTGCCTTTTACAATCGATTTAGCGCCCCAATAACTCTGCCGTCTCAGGAGCCGATCTCACAGTTATACCTCCGTTGCATTCACAAATCCTTGCGATCTTACCAAACTCATCTTATGGAACGTTTGATTCATTTTTCGCGCAATCTTACTGGTCGCGTGGCACATTCTATCTGGCTTTCGACAACTCCTTCGCGAATTCCCATTAACGAAAAGAATGCGATTCCGAAAGAGACCTCGAGATCACCGAACCCAGTTATCGAAAGCTCCGAATTTGCGCACAAGGTAAGAATGGGAAGACTATTCCTCATTTTGACTCACTCTAAGTCATGTTGCAGGTTATTGATCTTGTGCAAATTGATGATGAAGGCGTGAAAAATGCTGCTCAATATGTTCGCCCATCTACGACTCAATTTAATAATCATTTACGACTCTAATCCTTCCAGATTCGAAAGAAACTTCTGGCAGAATCATATACCCCGCGGACGTGGCGTACTCACCCCCTTCACATTTGTCCCCCAGAGCCCTACGATCCAAAGGACCCTCTAAATAAGGAAGTTCTCAATTGGATATTTCTGATATCGGCTCTTAATTTCAGCTTCTGGTCAGAAAAAGAAGGAAGACCAGACCGATATGGCGTGCAGTGGCTAACAGGTTGGAAATCTCCTTCACCAGAGAAGAAGGTGTGGACAGGATATTGGAGTCTTGTAGCTGCACTTGATAGAGGTAATATTGGAGACTTTTCATTAATCGAACCATCTGATAACTTTTCGTCCTTTAATTTAGCTCTCGAAGAAGCCATTCCTATAACTGACCCCCACTTTTATTCATCTGAAGAATCATGCCCCGATTCTTTAATTGAGTATGTCTTTCGACCAGCAGAACAATCTAGTGAGACTATCCCTTTAATTCGTGAGCGTATAGCCGTAATGCGCGAGGTTGGAAGAATTCTATGCGACGTCGGTATTTATTGTTCGCATTTCCGGATGATGCTGATTTTTCACTCCCAGAATTTTGGAGGATCCTACCTCGAGTTTATAGAAAATTTCCAGAGGCAACATGACGGACAAGGAACAGGTCTTGATCTTGTTAAAATTGTGGTCGAAACCTTCCCTCCATTCCGCGACGAAGCTGACTTCGGCGGCCGTAGAGGTATTTTCGATTTGCCGTAATAGAAGGAAGATGATACTAATATTTCCTCGAAGTTTGCCTATGGAAGCGAGCTCAGATTCTGGTAGCGGAGACGTGGGCTGCATTTTATCCAGAACCTTCCTCTGCTCCCCACCCAATATTTCCTGGGAGACGTGGCCCTGAAATCCACCATCTAACTATGTTTGCAGACTATCGTATTCCTCAGATTCTACACCACCTCCGCATCATTACTTACCCAGCCTCTCTCATCTCCAAGCTAGAAGCAGGGGCTCCGCTTGCTTCAGGCTCTCCTGAAGAAGTTAGTTTAAGAGCCACAAGCATAATAGCTGTTGAACGAGTTCGAGAGGAAATTTTGAGGCTAATCCAGACAGAAGGCACCAACAGTGAAAAAGAGTATCCTGCCGGCACTGTGAGCAGTGTTCTCATCGATTTCTATCTATGGGATCTTGCCAAAAGGGTAGAAGGAGGAGTGGAAACGATTGAGGGTATTGCGACTTCTGAGATGGTTCCTATTCACCGTACTCGTAGCATCTGGTACTAGAATAATTAGACACTTATTTCTCCCTTAATCTTGTCCATAGAGTATATTATTGCACAGTTAATTTATCCGCAACCTGGGTAGGCAGTCCGACTGCCTGATTCAGGAATGTGGGGTGAAAAATAATCCGCTGGAAATTTATAACGATGTAGTATCTGAACTATCTGATGAATCATCATCTGCTGAGTCGTCTGAGTCTGGCGCTGAAGAATCTCTCCATTTCCTGACTAAAAACACGTCTGCTTCGCCTTCCTGCCTTAGAATGCTATAAAGATCAAGAGAATATCTGAATGACTACCCAAAACGCCATCAATCAAGACTTACTGGTCGAACATGCTGAGAGTCGTTTGTTCAGCTTCATCATCTCTTGTGAGAGTATCTGGACGAGAAGTAGTGAGGGCTTGAAGATATGCTACTCGATCTTCAGTGGCATTTTCTCCCAAACGTCTAACAGAGGGAGAAAGCGAAAGATCCTGAGTGCACGGAGAAGAGGGGGTTGGGCTATGCAAGATGATATCTTTCTCAATGCCCGAGGTGACAACATGGAGATAAGAAGAATGGAAAATGGCCGTATTCACAATAGACATATGCCCTTGAGAGAAAATACTAAGTAATTCGGCGATGAATAACCCTCAAACAGCGCACCTGTTAGGCGACAAGCAGGGGTTGGAAGTTCTACTGGAACAAATTTGTTACCTTCTAGACTCTGCGTAAATGCTGTTACAAAGGTCAGTAAGTACCGTTACTTCGCTGATAACTGTTAAATTTACCAATAGTCTGACGGAAATCGTGAGTTAACCAATTGTCGGCTGTTAACTCCTCTCGTCGTTCGATTAATTCTGATAACGGAGGTATCTTCCATATATATCCTCGAAAATCGTCTGACCCAGCAACATAATATTCATCGGTGTCTAGTCCAGGCCCACCAAATGTCCCATGCTATGCGGTACTTAGTATCCAGATCTAGTGATTGATACTGAAATAATTCGCACCTTCATGGTACAAGAATTAGAATATGTTCTTTCGCCAGGCGGGTTAGGCGATCCGTCTGGTAAATTTCGTCCACTGCAAATGGCGACAGGATTTGGATCTGATAGCGCATAGATAGTCGGAAGATAGTTCTAAAGGAAGATTGAAATCTAAAATCGCTTGATTAGAGGACAAATTGAAGACTCACGAGCATTGTTACAGCTATCTTTTTGCCTTTGTTAAATGGAAGATATCAGTTACATAATAGAATGAATTTTCCTAAAGTAAAACCTTCTCGATCAAACACCACGCTGCTTGATTCTGGATTACTGAGATGCCCAATAGATTGCTTGGTGAGTTTTGTATTATACTGCACAACATCTATCAGTTATTTAAAAGAAGGAGAGTACAGTTAACTTTAGAAGCCCACTAATTGAACAACTCCTTGACCAGATCGTTGCGTCAAAGGACCGAATGCCATACGCTCGTCTCGTAAACAGACTTGACCTTTATTATCACTTGTGACGAATATATTATCCATAATAGGATGATATTGGACGCCAGTGACCTCGGACATCAGCTGCATGGTATCTTGTGCGCGAGCTGCACGATTGGAAGACCGAGAATCATACCGTCGAATAGTGCCATCCTCACTTCGAATAATTTAATCCAAAGCGCATCTTAGAGTGCAGAAAGGTACCTTGCGCTCATGAAAATTTGGTCCTGGAACGGGTGGCATGTTATAGCACGGACATGTTCCTTGGAATTAATTAGTGCAAATTTCCCCGCAAAATTACAAAGTATGATACTTACTCTGTGCTCCCGGAATGATTGTTTAGGAGACAGATTACCTATAGCACTGATCGGTGCATCCATATGCGAGGAATCGTATTGGTAGATCACGCTGTCGGTGCCTCCTCTGTACCCGATGTAATCAGAAATATACAGCAGAAGAATGCGAGTGTTCGGCATACGAATATAAATATTGATTCGTTGCAGAGAACGCTAACGTAAGGATAATTCCCTGTATGTTTGACATTACTAGGATGAGTGTAGATTATTCATTCGTCCTGCATACTCTGATGCCAACCATGGTCATAGCAGGAGTTTTGAGGTCCTCTTGGTGGAAGTCCCAAAGATGAATGCGATGGTCTAGTATCCGAGAGATTAGGCACAGGATTCAGGGCTTCAGGACTGGTACGCTACCATCACCACCGCTGGCCAGAAATCGACTATTCCCGGAAGAGAATGTAAGAGCATTTACGCAAGACGTGTGAGCAGACAGTCGTCTATAAAATTATTCATATTTAATTATTCGATGATTTCCTGAGCGTTGATTTACCTTGAGTAAGGAAATCCATTTGATGTGATGGAGTGGAGTACATCGGCCCTATTCCTCGTACGATTGCGACTTCCCGTTTGGTTGGAGAATGGCTGTAGAGAACTATACATAAGTACATATACTTCAAGTTATATCACGACGATTTGAAATAGGATTGTTTTAAACTTAACTTGACGTCAGTTATGTGATTAGTCAAGACTTCACACGAACTGATTGGTCCACAAGTTAAAGCTATGGAGACATAATGCTCAGAGTATGAAAATCTTCCAGAGAAACTAAGTATCTCAATGACATTCTATGTGTAATTGCCATCCAGAAACGCGGGGTGAAGTTAGTGCAGCATCAATCCCATCTAATAAAATGAAATTATATGGGTGGAATCTATTTCAAGGACGGCCAAGAAGGCTGTTCAAATCAAAAGTACAAGTCCCGACGGTGGTTCGAACACCGGGCCCTGCGATAATGAACTCTTACTGCAATCGCATGCTCTACCACTGAGCTACCGAGACGATGCTTGTATGCTTACTAATTTTATTTTAGTCGGAACGAAATTATTCTTGTTCAACTTACCGTGATTAGTCTGAAATCGAATGTCACTCTTGGTATTTTAATAGGGACAGTTCATAACAGCCCGCATGTGTCTCCTCTGTGGATACTTTCAAGCCTTGTCTCACGGATTTTAGTATATAGGGTTTTCCGAGCTCTAAAAACGAAGGGACAGATGTCGTTATATTCGGTTTCTAGAACTCGTTCAGGATGTACATGCACATGCATAGACCCTGGCAAGCTTCAAGAGTCGGGGAACCGTCGGATGAATACTGCAAGCTTTGCGCCTTTCGATTTGAAGAATGAAGATGATGATATGCCTGGCTATGCGGTATATTATCGGCAGTTTTAGCTGGCCAATGCTGCTCGAAAAACTTTCCAATTGAAAGGACTGCGAGTCGGACTACATAAAAATATACCTCTCCACAATCCTACAGCATCTTCATAAAATTAGCAGGATAGCTGAAGTGCGATGATCTTCCGGGCCGCCGAATCATAAACATAGAACGTATCTCCACATCACCGAGAAACCGTCTTGGATAGTTGTTGCGAGATCTAGACCAGATAGTCATTAAGTTCTCGTCCCTGATTCCAACTGACACTTCGAAGCATCAGATGCGGGGTTGTGAGATGTCTAAAATATTACTACGAAGGATGCGGGTGCGGAGCCTCCGAAGATCTTCCCGACGAACAGTGGCAACAACTTCGAAATGCAGAACAGACATGATGGAACAGAACGACGTTTAACTCCGAGAAATGACAACAAGCTTCAACTTGTTCCTGTAATCCCAGATGGATACGAGTCGTATCATAGAGCATAGAGCGGTGAGAGCCCCGGAGAAACTTGGCTTTGAGCATTGATACGGCCAATATCCGGATAATCCAGGACGAAGAAAGCATGCTGTGGATGAGTTTGACGCCACGAACACAGGCGCGCTTTCTCCTCGCCATCGAGTAGATGAGGTAGCCAAGCATTCTGTTCAATACAATTGTTGTCAGAGCGGAGTGTGCGAGCGCGTGAGGCGTTGTTTAACTTTAGGGAATGAGTGGTAGCCTCGGTGATTGGCGTGAAGCAGCCGCAGTGACAGGTGGACAAATGTACACATGTACGGAGGACCGCCGCGCAGCAGATGAGAACCGACGCATAGTAACTGTGGCTGGCTGAGAGTTACCAGCCGCGCCCTCAGGAAACGGTCGCGCAAAAATAAGCTGCTTCGTAATCCTCCCGAACGAGAGAAAGAGACACCATTACGCCCGCATATGCTTAAAATGGAATAGAGGCAGTATCCTCTTCTCGGGAACTAAAAATTCAAGCTTCATTATGTCATCGGAACACGCCGCGTAATATTTTCTCAAAAACCGTTCTGGAGCCCAGTGTCGAAGTTTAGGAGTAGGAATGAGAACTCGAAGTTGCGGTCGGGGAAAGGCAAACAGTTTGTTGGACAGATCAGAAATCTAGAGTTGCGGGGACCGGACTCGCCAAAACCCGACTCTTCAGTCTTAAGTTGTTCAATGAGCCTCGAATGTCATCATCATCATACATACAACATATCGCGTGCATGCCATCCGTAAGTTCTCCGGCATTCTCCTCTGATGCGATGATGATTCCAAGCGAGAAGGTCTACTCGAGTCTTGCTCGATCCAGTTTGGGTCCTTGAGAACTGTGAAAAGAAGAGATCGGGAGAAGGCGGCTGGGTTTGGGGTTGGGATAAAAATAACGTAGAGTAAAGCCCAGTATTTACTATTACCGAGCGGAGTGGCGGGTGAAATGGGTCCCAAGTGTTTGCTTATGGGTTCAAGGCAGCCCTTTTCGAAGCATCCTGATCACTGATTTCGACTTGGTCATGACAGAAAGTGGGCACGGTGCTTCGGAGATCATGGTGATCGTCGATGGGCGAGTGACTTGATCAGTGGCGGGTGATGCATGAACGCGGTGTAACAAGTGTTGCTTTGTGCCAGCGAGACGAAATTAAAGAGTACAAACATACAAGTGTATTTACATCCTCGTGTGGGGTTGGAGCCAAGAAGGATTCGAGATGCGTCTAGTTGGTAGTCTCGAAGTTCCTCGAACCGTTTCAAGCCTTGCGACGATTATTTATTGTCCGGGGTGGTACAGTTGCATCAGACCCAGGGCGTAGATTCAGGATAAATGGACGGAAAGAGGACCTTCGAGGTATTAGGGTACGGTGACGTATAGGGCTAGGGCTAACCGCGGATATCATAGTGCGTCGAGGGTTACTTTGACTTACGAAGACCATGGGTTAGGGTGCGGTTCGTGCGTTGGAACTGTCAAGGGCATCAGGACAGGTGGAGGCCAGTCATGATTAAACATCGCAGCAGCATATCTGAACACCAGCAGCAGTTTTAATTCATCGATAGGACGCTCGGGTAAATTGATGACTTGTACTGTCCATCCGGATAAGGCATCGCTAGTTGACGACGAGTAAAAGTTGAGGCGGTCGGAGCAGTATGTTGATTGAGAAGCAAGGAAATCGTAAAATGCCTTTCTGTCATACCAGCCAAAAAGAAAAAGAAAAAGAAAAAGAAAAAAGACCTCGGTGGATGGTGGGTCTTCCTACCGAAGGTTTCTGCCGAGTGATTATCAGCGGTGTTGTTTGTCGGTGCCACCTGCTTTGTTGTTGGTATCATAGTATTTGTTGTACGCGTCGCGTCGAGGGAGCCATGCTATTATTACACAGCGAAAAAAGAATTCACATGCGGAAGTAAGAGATCCCGGGCCCCGATTTCAGATATGTAGAATATAGAGGCCAAAAACGGACGCCACCCTTACGAAATGTGATACACGAGATGCGGGGTAAAATCGAGGCTAAGAGCAAGGGAAGGGAACATCCCGATCAACCCGCCGACGCGCCATAGAGAATTCCCCCTTGAATTCTGCTTGTTTCGTGACTATTTTTTCGGTGCAGAGGAGAAAGAAACCGGAAATTGACCGTCATCGTGGCCCTGGGGGTAAAGACATCGGCTGGAGAGGAGGAAAAACCGCGTGGCAGAGGCGATTATCATGAATGTATCTCGGAGGACGAGCGGACCGAACTGGGATGACGCCACATGGTTGGATGAACGTTGGAGGGAGGAACAAGGTGGAACCGGATATTTTATCGATGTGCTTGCTATGGGTCGAGGGGCTGGAGGATAAGCCGGAGACCATGGATGGGGATGTGCCGGGCCGACTCGGAGGTACACCCACGTTTTGCCATCGCTCAACGTCGCCGCGGACAGCGAGCGGGTGAGTGAGCGTAATTTGAGTGTAACAGAGAGTAATGGAGAGTGGTGTAATAGCCTGTAAATACGATATCGATGCAATGGCGTGCACTGATTATGACAGATTCGGCGGTGATCGTCGACAACGATTACGCAGCGGAATATACACAGAGAAATACAAATTTTGACTTCCGTTGTGAATGCGGGGAAAGCGGAACAGCCGAAGGCGCGTTGAGCAGACGGAGTGTCCAAAAGTTTTGTTTTTTTACTCTTGCTTTCTCCTGCTCCTGCCCAGCTCGTTTTGCGCCGCCCAAGGTTATCCTGAAACTACCACGACGGCCCTGTGATTTTGGGCAATCGCTCGTCATCTTCCTGCGATTGTGGTATCAGCCTGATTCTGAAAATAATCTGAGCGTCTCCCCTTTTGGCGTGCGGTCACAGCATACGATTCCTGACTCCTGGCGTTTGGCTGGCATCTGTCACTTCCCCTCGGGGCACCTTCCCCACGTTCCCACTACACCGCTACCAGGCCACCTGCCATAGCTTAGTCCCGACCACGACACATTCCACCTCTCCTCTCATTCTTCCCCTCACGCTGGTCCTGCGCGAGAAAGATCCCACCGCAACCATCTCGCTGCGTCGACAATTCCTCAGTCTCATTCCCATCGCCACACGGTCTTTCCCCGGACTTATCCCACCCCTCTCTCCTTTGCGGGGTACATCCAACAGCTCGCACATACTAAGACTCCCCCATCTTGTCTGCCTTCATTTGGGCTGCAATTCCGTAATTCTCAGTCCCTACCAAAACACCTCTTCTACAGCCCTTTTCTCTCCATCCGGACGAATCGCTTCAATCACGGGTTAATTCTTAGACTACACAAACTTGGCTATCCAACACCACTGCAACTATCGGACAACTCCTCCAGAACTAGATCCAAACTATTCATTGCCTGGATTCACGGCTTCTAATCCTTCTACCAACACGTATTCGGTATGTACATCTAGTTCCTTTCATATTTAACACATCTCTTATCGCTGGCTACTCCCTTCTCTCTCATCTTCCATTCAACAATGCTTGCAGTTCACACCTTCTCATTTGCCATGGTAAACTCGGTCAACCCAGACCACCCTCCTGCGGGGCACGAAAAGGTCGTCGCCCGCCCTTACAAGTGCCCATATCCTCTCTGCGGGCGAGCGTTCAGCAGGCTAGAGCACCAGGTGAGTAACATTCCAGCTGTCTGCCCACCCCACTCAGATAGCATCCCCCCAGACCCGTCACATTCGCACCCACACCGGCGAGAAGCCCTTCATGTGCACCTTTCCCTCCTGCGAGAAGCGTTTCTCGCGGTCTGACGAGCTCACCCGCCATTCACGGATACACAATAATGACCATGCCCATGTCCACGCTCCCGCCGGCCACAGCAGTGGCAGCAAGAAAGGACCGTCAAAAAGCAGAGCGGATCTTTCCTCCATGGACGATCCGGAGCACCTGGGTTACTCTCTTGGAGTAGAAAGTTACGTCTCTGGACCTGCGTCTGGCGTTAGGGTGAAGAAGAAGGCTCGGAGTAGAGCTAATAGTGATGATGAGGTGCGTTCTTTACTTGACATTTCCTCCTACTCGGTACGATCTCGGGAGAATGCTGCCACCTCTTTCTTTCTCGAGACCATTCTTCGATTCTATTTTTGTGTGGAGAGCTGTAACTTACACTTTTTTTCTTTTTCCTGTCTAGGGTGAATCATA